TCATGTCTCCCCTAGTCCTTCTTTTCATCAAACTAGACATACCCAGTTCCTGCAACCGTTCTTCATGTTTTAGCCTCTAGTTCCCTGATCATCTTTTTTGCTCTTCTCTGCACTCTTTCTAGAATCTCCACATCTTTTTTATATCATGGCAACCAAAACTGGATGCAGTATTCCAAGTGTGGCCTTACCAAGGCATTATAAAGTGGTATTAACACTTCACGTGATCTTGATTCCGTTGTAGATGTGTAGAGAGCTGTTCAGGTGAATTTAGATTGTACCCTCTCCAGAGAGGTGAAACATGAAGCTGGAGGGGCAACCAGAGTCCCTTAAAAGAACTGGGCTAGCAACGCAGCCTGAAAGAGCTTAAGTGCAGCTGGAACATAATAGTCTCCTTTGGATCAGAAAAAAACAAGGGACTGTCAGATCTTTGTCCAGTACCAGCAACATATTCCCATGGATTTTCCTCAAACCAGTGGCACAAATGACAACTCCTAAATACTTAATGCGAATCACTTGTTTTATTATTGGCCATTAATGCTCCATAAACAAAGCTCCGGCCTTTTGGTGAAAGCCATAATCTTGATTTATTTCATGATTATCAATTGCTGTATTGGACCAAAAGAATTTATGAAAGCAAACTAAAATATTGGTATTAAAATGACATAAATGTTAATACCAATGTTTTGGTTTGCTTTCATAAATTCTTTCCTGATTTCTAATTTATATTTTTTGAAAACCATATAGAGCCGTGGTGGCGCAATGGTTAGAGTGCAGGCTACTTCTACTGATCACAGGCTGCCAGCAGTTTGGCAGATCGAATCTCACCAGGCTCAAGGTTGACTGAGCCTTCCATCCTTCTGAGGTGGGTAAAATGAGGAGCCAGATTGTTGGGAGCAATATGCTGACTTTGCAAACTGCTTAGAGAGGGCTGTAAAGCACTGTGAAGCAGTATATAAGTCTAAGTGCTATACAGAAATATTTTAGTTGCCACTAATAAATATGTCCCAGCATGGCATCTGAAAAGATACCCCACCTCTAGGCCCATGAATTTGCAGACACTGTAAAACTAACTCTAATATTAGTAACATGAAGAATTTTCTTTGTTAATAGACCCTGAGAACATGGATATCGTCGAGGCAGAAGACAGAACTTTTGTATCTATATAATTATTATTTCTCATACCAGACATTATCATTGTGTCAAGCTAATCCTGAAGGCTGCAAACAGGAGTGTGGGAGGGGTTCAAAATGGCAGAAGTAACTGGGCAAAGTCCCACTTTTTTAACATGTGTTGCACACACTATAAAGGTAAAGGTTTCCCCTGTCCAGTCATATCCAACTTTACGGGGCAGTGCTTATCTCAGTTTCTTAGCCAAGGGAGCCAGTGTTGTCTGAAGACCCTTCCGTGATCATGTGGCCAGCATAGCTATATAGCGAGGTGCATGATATTGTTACCTTCCCACCAAAGTGGTACCTATTTATCTACTCACATTTATATGCTTTCGAACTGCTGGGTTGGCAGGAGCTGGGGCAGGAATGGGAGCTCACCCCATCCTACAGCACTCTGGTTCCAAACTCAGGCTGTCAGCTTTCCAGCTGACAAACTCATGTCTTTAACCACTAAGACATTGTGCCCCCTTTTTATACATTAGATGCCTGTAAAAAGGGGCAGGATTTTAATTATCTGGCCTGTCTGCCATTTTGCTACTGTTGATCGTGTGGACGTGTGGACACCCACGTTGCAAACATTAAATAAGCATTTTGGAGTGAGGTAGGTCAAACATTCAGATCTGATTTTTATTTGCCGCTGATAAAGAACCCAATTTGTTTTATTTAAAACTTAAGTAAAATTTCTAAAATAAACCCAAAGTTTACTTAAGCCTGTATCAATATTACTAAAAACTACCATAAGGTAAAAGTAAAGGTAAAGGTTCCCCTCCCACATATGTGCTTGTCGTTCCCGACTCTAGGGGGCGATGCTCATCTCCGTTTGAAAACTGAAGAGCCAGCGCTGTCCAAAGACATTTCCATGGTTATGTGGCCAGCGTGACTAAACGCTGAAGGCGCACGGAGTGCTGTTACCTTCCCACCAAAGGTGGTCCCTATTTTTCTACTTGCATTTTTACATGCTTTCAAACTGCTAGGTTGGCAGAANTTTTAACATTTTCTAATGGTGGTGTGCCTCGTGATTTTTTTCATGAAAAAAGTGTGCCTTTGCACAAAAAAGGTTGAAAAACACTGGCCTAAAGCACTGAAATTATGAGTTCTGTTGTCCATTTATGGAAAAAAATTAACATTTAAATACTTTTCATAGATGTACCATTAAAAGTCAGGGAAATATATGAATCAATGACTTATTGAACTCACTTGCTTACAACTAATTTTAGAGATAAATTTCAAATAATACGGTTTTTAACATTTAGGCAGTTTTTGCCCAAAGGTTAAGAATCACAGAACTTTTAGAGGCCATCTCTCCAAATATTCTTCTCCTTCATCTCATTCAAAACATTAATTTTAAAAAATTCTTTTAAAAAGCCATATTTATGAAGATATTTATTAAGTCCCGGTGTACAAGCCAAAGCACAAAAGCTATTCAGAGCTTTTTCCACTGCTGCATCTGTTGTCTGAGGCAATTAGGAATTATTTATCAGCTGTCCAGAATCCATGGAATTAGGGGTTCATAAATTCAAATTTTAAAAAAAAAGATATTGGTTTATCATAGATGACCTTTTAATAATTTATAAAACAATTTGCCGAAACACAACAGATTGTAAATTGCACAGTTCTTTTGCAGTAAACAAAGAACCTCTATTGAAAGAGGAGGCAACAAATAATATTTTCCTCACTCATTTACTAAGTCATTTTCAGATTCTTACCGCTGGATGCTGCGAGGACATCCTTACATAACATTAGCCAGTGCGAGAGCTTTTCCACCGCCAGAGATGAAAGCATATGGCCCAAAGTATCATGAATATCAGAACACAATTTCCGATCAGTCTCACGATCTAACATTCCAAAAAGAACTCCTTCCAATCCTGTCTCTGTTATATTAATTCCTCGATGTCTGCCATGACTATCTCTTCGAGAGCCAAGTCCTAGGGCAAAAAGATTAATATCTGCAAAACATATATTTGGTAGTACAACATCTGAGATTTTTCTACTGAATTATTTAACTTCATGTGCAATCGTAATAGTAAATACAATGGCTACAATCAGTGGTGGGTTGCAGGCGGTACGCCCCGGTACAGGCTTATCAGAGTCAGCCCGGAGCACCGGATACCGTTCCGGTACAGTGCTCCGGAGAGCCCACCCGCCCGCCCATGTTCCTTACCTGTCTTTTTAAGGCTTCCGTGCTTCCATGCACGCGCATGGCGCATACAGCACCTGTGCGACACTCCGCAGAATAGCTGGAGCATCGCAGAGGCTCATGGAGATGCTAAGACGCATGCACGTGCCATGCGCACGTTCATGTGGACGCCACCAGGCCCGTTCCAATCATACTGGTTGGAACGGGATACGGAACCCACCACTGGCTACAATCCACTAAAGAAACAAGAATAATTGTTACATTCCACTACCATAGATATTCAAATGTGAACAAAACCTGTTAAATTACAGCAAGATTTCATCTAGATTTGCACAGACTTGAATTGATAAGATCTCTTCGATTCATCTTTCCATATCTTAGGAAGCATCCTTCCATGTTACACAAAACTGTTAATTAAAAATGCAGATGATAAAACTGCTATTCATCTCTGCAGGCCTAGGCTCAACAAATGCCTTTTCCCATCCAATCAAGAGAAAATTACTAATAATCTAGCAACCTGTGAAAGGAGAGAATGTTCATATTATTTGCAGAATTTTGAGAAAGAAAAATGTAGCTGAAAAACAAAAACAACAGAAAATACGTTTAAGAAGTTCCACTGTTTAGTCCGATACTTACTTGTCCCATTATTTTCTTTATCTCCAGTATTTTTTGCTAAGCTCATGGCATATTCACATACTTCTGCTGCTTCTCTTTGGGCAAGCTGCCTCAGGCATGCTACTGCAGCCCTACGTAGAAGCAAGTGGGAGCTGCATAGGTGAACCTATAACCATCAAAAAGCAGCCAAAAAGGACTTGGTTACTTCAAAATGCTAGTAGCTTCTACAGATTGATGGCAATCGCTTACAGCCTACATATTATGTAAGACCATTTCAATCTGTGTTTCTCAACCTTGGCAATTTTAAGATGTATGGATTTCAACTCAGTTTATGAAAAAGCCAAACACAATTTTTAAACTGATTTGTTAAATATTTTTCTTCCAGGAAAATACATTTATTTCTTCTACTTTTACATAACATAGCAACCTCTTTATTCACAGAAAGAAACAATATGCAGAGTGTCTAATTATTCTGCAAGGAACACTTTTTGAACCAATTATTAATTTATTAACAATTATAACCAAAACTCTTTGTGTTTTTTCCATTTTAGTAAAGTGTAACAAAAGAATTAGTTTAATGAAAGGTTCATAAGTATACAACACTATGTCTCATCTTCATTCAGAGGATAAAAGCATTTTAAGAATTTGAAAAATCTAAATGCGAACCTCAGACTTTTTTAATGCACTCCAAAACTTATAGATTAACAGAAAGTTCTATATGCAATATAATTTGTTACAAAGATAGTAAGTACATTTTATACATGCTTGCGACAAGCAGCAAACTGACAATGTTGGTGTCATCATGAGCATTTGTGGGACACTATTTTGGGATATAAGAGCTGTGTGGTGAAGTGGTTAGAATGCAATATTGCAGCCTAATTCTGCTGACTGCCAGTTCCCAGCAGTTCGGCAGTTCAATTCTCACCAGCTCAAGGCTGACTCAGCTTTCTATCCTTCTGAGCTGGGTAAAATGACAACATGAGACTGTTGGGGGCAATATGCTGACTCTGTAACCACTTAGAGAGGGCTGGAAAGCACTGTGAAGTATATACAGTATATACGGTAAGTCTAAGTGCTATTGCTATTGCTGTTGCTACATATAGGAAGGACAAAATATACTTACACAAAGACTGGGAACAAGACTAGAAAGGTTAACATGTCGTGGCGCAAACATGTGAAGTTGCTGGAGACAGGAAATGGCAGCTGCTTGAACAAGAGAGTCAGAATGATCTTGTGTAATTGCACATCCCACCAGACATGAGGAACGGATGGTAGAAATAGTAGCTCCATTACCTATTAAAATTAAGATTTTTAAATCAACCTTTATAAATTGTGAAAATGAAAGACAGCCAAATGAGTATCTTTCAATTTAACACCCAAGAAAAGTACAATCCTTTAAGGAAATATAAAGACTCAATTTAGGATATTCACCACATATTAAATAATACATTTTTAAATATTTTCTCCAATCATCAGTTATCTATTATCACATGTTTAAGTTCCTGTAATGTTAAAGATCTATCTATTCTTTGGGGGTTTTCTCTGTATATTATGGATAGGTTTTATTTTGTTCCTTTTCCTGCCAACCTCTCTGCTTTTTTAATGAATAATAGAGAGCTTGTGACCTTTTGGATTATTACTTCAGAAATATTTGATTACCTAAAGAGAAAGAGAATGACCACAGGAAGGGAGGAAAAGCGGTGAGAGTGGGAGCAACTTCTGACTTTTTGCCGGGTTCCCTGTTGACTTTCCTTGTAGGAAGCTGGCAGGGAGCATTGGAAATCACAATCAAGTGACTTGGCTGACCATGGTGATAAATCACCATAACAGCTTTTAATGAAGCAGCCTCAAATTTGTCAAATTTCAATCTCATGAGAGTCATGGTCCTGGATTTTGGATCTATTCTGTCAGTTATCCCATCTGAGGTAAGTTAATTCAAATATTATTGCCCTATGAGGCATCATTTCACCCAACAGAAGGTTACATACTCTCAAACAGATGAGGTTTAGATTGTATAAATATGTTTACACAGTTTTACTTCCAATGTAATGTTTTAATCATGTCATTGTACACCATATTAAGATGCAGCTTATGCAAAACCGTATAAAACTATCTTAAATAATAAATTGAGCTGTGAAATAAAGGAACTGAACTCTATAGTATAATTTTGAGGTGTATTCTCCTTAAGACACATTTTAGATGGTAACAAACCTTAAAGAAAAATATCTGATAAGAATTATTGAAAGATCATGATGAATTCTAAGAATTTTGCTTAGAAAATGACCAGGACCCCAGCAGTTCAAGTATCACTAGTATGGTATGTCACAAAAGCAGCCTAGAAACAACTGGAACTACATACAATTACAGTTAGATAATCTGGATTGAAGAGCCAGTTTGGTATAGTGGTTAATCAGGAGACAGTGAGTTATAGTCCCACCATAGGCACAAACCAGCTGGGTGATCTTGGGCTAGGCACTTTCCCCAGCCCTAAGAAAAAGGCAATATCAAACCACTTCTGAAAAACCTGGCCAAGAAAACTTCAGAGACTTGTCCAGACGGTCTCTGAGTATCAGACATAATTTAATAGAAGAAAGAAAATCACCTCAACTGAACTTTGGTTTATAATTCAGTTTATTACAATGTGGTTTAAGTATAATCCATACATTTTACAAGTCAGGCATCTGTGCCCAAGAAGAACCATCAATTTTCTCTAGTCAATAAAATCTTGACTAGAGAAGTGAGTTACATAATTATAAGCAAATGTTCTTAGATATAATGTAAAGAATATAGTACACATAACACAGAAGAAGACTAGAGTTGCATCTGAAAAGTAAAAAGAATAAAAATAGTAAACTTGCATCTCACTAAAACCTAGGGATGTGCAGCACTTTGGATTTCAAGTCAAAAAGGTGTGTTGGAACAAATATTTGTTGGCACCTCCTTAATGAAAACAATGTCACTCCCGGAATCACAATAACCACCTGGGGTCAAAAAAGTACATGTTGGGAGTTTAAGAAGGTACCAACAGTGTGGAAACATAAGTTTGGGAATGGTTGTAGGTGCACTATCAGTACCTTTTTAACTTAAAACACCTATTTTTCCAAGGATCATGCTTCTACTTGCAATCTCAGGAAAAGTAGTAGCATTGTTAAGGATGTGCCAAGAAGACCAGCATGCATGCTCATGTCTGTTCTGAAGAACCTTTCTATCTTTGGTTCCAAAGCATTGAACATTTGTATTAGATTACATGCAATGTAATATGCATAGAACTGTAGGGAAAGTTCCAAAGTTTTCATTGTTGTCATACTAACCTTGCAGCTCAGGACCAACAGTTGTTATTATAGCTCCCAGACACCGACCCAAACATTGATGAACTTCTGTATGGGATGGGGGCACTGTCAGAAGTAAAGTAAGAACCAAGGATAGGGTGGGCTCCACATATCCACGATACATTGGTCCGCTGGAATCCACTATTAGAGCAAGTGAGTGGAGAGACCATGTCTAGAAGAAGAATGAATAATTTAATCATGTGCTTTCATCTTAATTAGGATCCTTAAAAGGTTACAACGATAGGTACTTCTCTACTTACTGCCACTCTGTTTAGTGACCATTCAAAGTTACAACAGCACTGAAAAAAGCGACTTGCACCTTTTTTCTCACTCATGACCACTGCAGCATCCCCATGGTCACCTGATCAAAATCCAGGCACTTGGCAACTGGTATGTATTTATGATGGTTGCACTGTCCTGGGGTCATGTGATCACCATTTGCAATCTTCCCAGCTGGCTCCTGACAAGCAAAGTCAATGGGGGAAGCCAGATTTGCTTATCGACTACATGATTCACTCAATAACTGCAGGGGTTTGCTTAACAACTGTGACAAAAAGGTTGTAAAATGAGGCACAATTCATTTAACAAGAGCCTCACTTAGTAACAGAAATGTTGGGCTCAACTGTGGTCCTAAAATCGAGGATATCTGTATAACAAAATGGATTCTCAAATTATATACTGACATCATTAACATGTCTCTCTAGATTGGGAACTGTACAGGAACTATCTACTATAATGATAATTAAAGAAATGTAAATATTCCTGTGCCTCACAAAACAAGAGAAAGCAGAGCCACCTAAACCAGTGGTCTCCAACCTTGGCAACTTTAAGACTTGTGAACTTCAACTCCCAGAGTTCTTTGCTGGCTGAGAAACTCTGGGAGTTGAAGTCCACAAGTCTTAAAGTTGCCAAGGTTTGAGACCACTGACCTAGACAACAAACATAGTTTATGATTTCAAGCCAACAGTTCCCTAATATACACATAATAGCTTTTTTTAATTCAGCTGTTTAAAAAAGGATAATGAATAAAGTTTTTAAAGCAAGAAGTTTGCCTTATTATGGTAACAATATTTTATCACAATAAGAGTCACACTAACTTTAATAAGTGGATTTCTTGAAGCAAGTTTTCAGGAAAACTAAAAAAAGTCACGCTTCTTAAATGAATAACAGAGAGATTATATACTTGTGCATACTCCAAAGCATATCTGAATATTTTTCAAAGCACGAATATTATATTCCTATAACATATGTTCAGATAATGTATATGAATGTATATTAATTTTACCTGAACTTCAGGAGAAGTTCCATCTTGTGCTAGTGCTAACAGAATGCTGACACTGGTTTTCAAATGCTGCCCAGAACCTATTCCACCAACATAGCGATGTAGACATCCAAGAGCCAAAGAGTGGCCAGTCCTTGATACAACATCTCTAGCAGATTTCAACCTGCCAGTATTTGTTTAAAAAGTCATTAAATCCACAATCAAGATAGTAAAACACTAGCATATATTTTTTAATTGACAGTGCTGTGCAACTCCATAAGTTCATAGACATTTTGGAATTACCCAAAGCATAATTGTGGATATTTCTAAAATGAACAGAGCTGTCTAAATATGATTTCAATTTTATTTTAAACAAAATTTTATAATTAAATTGTTAAAACCTGCCTATACTTCAAAATAGCACAATTTCCCCATTAAAAGCACACTTTTTAATTCCAATGATGATAGAAAATTAAAGCAAGATAGTAACTATTGATTAGTTTTTGTCTTTAGGAGACAGGATTTTCTTCATGATATTTGTAATACAAAGCATTTATAAATAATTCACTAAGTAAATGAACCTGAGACAAAAACTGAATCAGAAAAATGTTCTAAATTTTCCCTCGCTTCTTGCTCTTATTTCTTCCCTCAGTTTTTCACATATATAAAAATATTCCATCTTGTATTAAACCTAACAAATGTTATAAACATTCAATAATTTGTACAAATTTGTTATTTTTCTACAATCATAAACTGATATAAAATAAATACATGCAATTCAAAGAATCGTAACTCTGGAACTATAAACCCTCTCTTTTAAATTAATTGATTTTCTTCCTTTGATTTCACACTATTCCGAACCTTTACAATACTGAAAATTCAAAGCCAATCAAGTTATCTTGACACTAAAATTAGCCAAGCATCTTCATTCACGCCCTTTCAGGCAGAAAACAAATGAAATAAACTTGCATTTTTGCATTATTTTTGAAAGTGAGAGCCACTGAATTCAAAAGTATTTATATTTTCCGAATTTGTTTTGCGTTATGTGGCAATATTCTTGGAAAAAAAGTAGCAGCAGAGTTTACCACAGAATGTCTTTGTCCAAGGTGTTCAAGTTGTGTTAAAATCTCTCTTGAACCAAAGCACTTGCCCTGCCTACTGCCAAAAGGGCTGTAACCACCTCATCAGATGTTTCATTGAATAATGTCTGCTTTCAACCATGCACCACTGCTTGACATGCCACATCTGCATTTGAGATCACAATTCAAGCAACAAGGGCTTTTAGCCAAGCAGTTAGGTAGAGGCTGTAATGGGAGGAGGGCTGGATCTCATTTACTATTCTCTCCTAATCCACTTCTGAGCAGTCACTCGGCCTCTACTACCTCAGGATCCAGAACCACAGCCTTACCGCATGCCACTCATCCTCCAGAAGTCTATCCCTAAATGATAGTATTGAGTGAGAGAAGGGGGAACAAAAACTGCATAGCATCATAGCAAGCGTCCATAGGCACAAAGGCCATACTTCTTTTTAACTAACAAACTAAGGAAGTAATACTGATCAACTTCATTTATGTGCATTCTTACAGCTGAATATCTTCAGTTATACTTTATGTAGCCAAAATTATTGGGCTATTACTGTTACACACAGTTCATGTATTGGCAGTTTTGAATATTCACAACTGTTACCTCTAGATAACATTTGGGTATACAAATAAAAGAGCTTCACATATTCATTTTGGCTTCCATTTCATTTCATTTATGCTTATACAAAATGCAGATGGGCTTTTACACATCTGTAAAGCATGTCAGAATAGTTATATTGTCTGCATAGTATATTGGCTACTTTTTCTCACTTGGTTATAAAGGATCTTGTTGGATCATCCTAGCTGCAAGGGGCTATCCTATGGTACCTGGCTGCTTTCTTTTCTGGAGCAGATTAGTTGGCTGGGGATGAAGGATGTGACCTTTTTCATTCCAAATGTCTCATGGTAGCTCCTCCACTCTACATGACTTTCACCATGATAAGAACCTCTTAACTGGACTTAATATGGCAGCTGGAAAGTGTCGTGGCTCGGTCCAATGTAGTTGGGCTGAGGTAGTCTTCTTTTCTTTGAAGACTTAGAATAAGGTACTAATGATAGAAACTGGTACTGCTCTTGCAAGCTTGAAGGAAACAGCCTCTCTTGGCTGAAGAAAATGAGCCCAGGCTCCAGAATCTAACTACTGATTATTCATGGTTTCACTGTTGATGGTTTTATGTTGGAACAGAACCACTACAAATACCAAGAGCTACTTGTATAATTTATATATTTTTCATATGCTGTACAAAAGAAAACAAGTTAAACAATAAACAAACATAGCACAGTTCTTGTTTTACTTCAAGTAAAATTACAACATACTTATCAAAACTGTACTGAGCCATCCTGGCAATGAAAGTGGCTTCTCCAACCACCTGGGCCATTCTTCCCAGAGCTTCTCCCGCAGCGCATCTCAAAATAGGATTAGGATTGTCAAGTGCTCCCATTACAAGAGTCAAAGCAGACTTGCGGACTTCTTCTGGTCCTAAGGTACTTTTGTTCTCAGCCAAGCCCTTTTACAACAGACAATACTTTAAAACATGATCTATAACGTCTTTAAAGCCATCATAGATTACTTTAAGAAAATACTTTATGAATGTGTCCCTATATACTTGCTTTTCAGCCTCTGGCAAATCATTGCATTTTAATTACAAAATTATTATTATGTGTTCACTTTATAATCCACCTTTCTACCCAAAGGGCACTCAAGGAAAATAATAATAAAAATAAAACCACTGTTTAAAGTGTGATTAAAAAAAAATCAAAAAACATTGTTTGCTAATTAAACTATAAAAGCCTAGCTGAAGCAGCAAGCCTCTTGCTAAAAACCAAGAGAGCAGGCAAAGCTCCTAAGGGTGCAGTCCATCGCTTGAGAGCAACATTACAGTTTCATCTTTTGAAGCAGATTTACCTTTAGTGCACTGAGAACAGCAGTAAAAATATTAAGCTGCACTGCTTGTTGACGAACACCTTTTGCCTGCTTAATACATTCTGCAAAATGATCCAACATTTGTAACCTGGAAATGTAAATATAATGAGGAAGTTAGCATTCAAATAGCAAACACTGACATTCCAATAATAATGGCTGCTGAATATCTTGACCCAGTAAAAGCAGCTTTTGTCAGATATGAATTAATGTAATTAGAATTAACTCTGAAGTCCATTTTTACTTTTAAAAATCTAGCCTTGTGCTGCCAAGATTTACTGCAGCTATGATGAAATTTGTTTTATTTAATCCAAAGTGGCGCAATCACTTTTAAGTTTCTTGGAAATAAATGAATATACTTAAACCTATTCTTGAATAACTTAAAGTAGTTTTTGCACTGAAATTATCATTTAATTAATTCTTTTCCCTGTAGCATGGAATTTTAAGTGTGTGGGTGGTGGTGGGAATATTTTGTCTTTCATTTATTCAGAGCAACTTTATGAGTCACTAAAAGCGTATCCATTGTACAAGGATAGGAAAAAAGTTGTTTCTCCTTAGTTTTATCAGTAAATGTATCCTGAGTGCTTCATTATACAATCAGCCTCATAAAGGATACCAGTGTTTCTCATCTTTTAACTATACTAGTGATATTCTTCTTCTTCTAAGTTTAGCACACCCCTCACCCACCTCCATCACCATCCTCTCCAATTCCCCAAATTCTCTTAGATTTCTAGTTGCCTTCCATATTTAGAAGTATCCAAATAATTCTTCATCAGTATGATCTTTAAGTCATGCTGGCTAGCAGTTCTGGATATTACAGTCTTAATACATCTGGAGGGCATCAGGTTGGGAAAAAGTGTTTTAGCTGTTTTTGAAGAACTAGGCACACTGATAACATGTTGGAAACAACAGCTGCATTAGGTAACATCAGAGAACTTCTAGATAAAAAGTACCTTTGAATGTCAGATATGATCCTACTCCTGCTAACTATAGCCATTTTATCACATTTAAATAGTTAACTAGTATGCTAATCGAAAAGTCTTGAAAATAATGTTCACAGAGCTAGCTTTTTTCCATAAAGATAAGTTGTAACATTTGAAAAATTACAAAAATGGAAAAAGGATAACTTATCTTTATATATGGTCCTCATTTTGTTATTGCTGCATGAAATAACGGCTTAATGAGGTGTAGAAGTGTTAGCTGTGTAAGTGTTAGAAGTGTAACCAACCTGTGTTTGTAGGACACATGAGGGAAAACAACTCCAAAGAGAGCCACTGAAGCATCGATGACTGATACTCCCAAAGGAAGAGGCCCTGGCACTGCTTCTCCAGCTGGGATACGCAAGTAAATGGAGGAGGGATCGTGTTCTAGAGCACCACTACCTGAGGCACTGTTGGGCTGGAGCTGTAAAAGCATCAGAATATTTGAAATCAGAGACATGTATCTTTTATCCCATAACATTTCATATCAGCTTAAAAATTGTTTTCCTGGTTAAGAGAGTACTCTATGGGGCCTATGCAATGTATCTTTAGTTTTTACAGAATAATTATATCCCCAAATAAGTCTATCTATATTCATGATCATTTTTCATTATCAAAAAATCTAAGTGTTGATAGGGGCCTTGGAGTTCTTTTAGTTCAATTCCCTACCCAATACAGGAATCTTGATATCAATTCTGGACAAATAGATGCCTAGCCTTTTCTTGAAAACCTCCAGTGATGGATCACTCATAACTTCAGGAGTCAGGCTGTTCCACTGTTTAATAGCTCTTAGTCAGGGAATTCCTTCTTAGTTCAAGTTTAGATATCTCATTGTAAAGCTTCTATCCACCAGTTCTTGCCTTATGTTTAGGTAATGGGAAGAATAAATCTACTGCCTCTTCCCTGTGACATCCCTTCATGTATTAGAAGACTGATATTCTGTCTCACATTATCCTTCTCTTCTTTAAGATAAACAGACCAAGTTTCTTCATAGGATTTAGCCTACAAGATCCTTACCATCTTTGTTGTTCTTCTCTGCACTCTTTCCAATTCCTCAGCATTCTTTTTGTACTGTGGTGACCAGAATAGGGCAGAGAATGTCAGATGTTGTCTGATCAGTGCACCATAGAGCAGTACTATAAATTCCCATGACAACATTATAGCTCTGTTGATACAGCCCTAAACTGCATTGTCTATTTTGGCAGCTGTAGCACATTCTTGTCTCACCCTTAATCTATGGCTTACCAAGAAAGACTCCACCTCTCTCTTGCAAAGTACTATTGCTCAGCCAAGTACCTTTTATCTTGTACATGTGCATCTGGGTTTTCCTTCCATGTAATAGAGAAAGTCTATGTTATTGGCAGGCTCTTCAGCTCAAGCAAAGTGAAGACCTTTTTATAAGCTGCATTATTCAGTGAAATGGATTCAAATCACATGGATTCAAATCAATATTGCACGAAATTCCTGAGTTACTATGAAATAGATAACTACATAACATACATTTTCATCCAAAGTTTCTATCTGGAATATTTATTTATTTGTTTGTTTGTTTGTTTGTGTGTGTATCTTGCCTTGATTATTTTTACAAATAATTCAAGGTAGTGAACATATCCAACCCACCATTCTCCTATTTTCCTCTCAACAACAACCTGTGAATGGGTTGGGCTGAGAGAGTGACTGGCCCAAGATCACTCAGCTGGCTTTCATGCCTAAAATGGGATTAGAGCTCAGGGTCTTCCGCTTTCTAGCTTGGTGTCTTAACCGCTAGGCCAAACTAACTTTCAAAAATATGAAAACGAAGTATACATCACAATGCAAAAACTAGAGAAGCACAGCATCTAATAACTATAGAAAATACAACTTTGTATTCTTACTAGAACCTTTTTCACTTCTGTCCAATATATAATATGCATTAGGGTCAGACAAATATTCCTATACATTCAAAGATAACTTGCTAGAAATAATTTCCAATTTCTTATATGTTGCATTAACAGATTGCAAACCAAGTATTGCACTGTATTTCAGCTCCTACTAAAAGTACTGTGGTTAGGAACCTGAAGCAGGAGATATTGAGAATTTCTGCCTCTCTAAGGATCTCTCTCAATAGCAATCTCTACACTTTATAAGAAGGTATTTTTGCAGGCAGCATCAAAAGAATGAGGAGCTGCCATCACTTCAAAAGCATGGATTTTTCTCAACATTATTGATAATATAATGTTCTCCAGGACATCCTCTAATACATTAGTCCTTATTACCCAAAGCAGAAGTGAAAACTGCATGGTGAAATAAATGAGAAAACCCAAGATTTAGGGAAGTTGTATATCTGCTATGAAACTATTAATTACATTAATTGGGGTAAATATTATATATCAGCCACGGGGGACTATGGCTCCCCAAATATTGCTTTATTGCATATTCCCATATTAGCCACAGCTATGGAGAACTGTGCTCAGTAGCATCAGGGGTCTCAAAAGATTTTTTCATTTCTTTCATATTCTTAGCTATACTGATGGGGCAAGTCTGGAAGGATCGAATGCAGAACCCATTTATTTTTATTTTTGCCAAAATATGTAATTTATTTGTTTACACACATAATTAAAGAACAATTGACACTTGGGAAGAACTGGAAAACTAGACTGGATACCTGATCTTCAATTGATTTATGGTCTGTTTCTTGCAGCCAGGAGCCAAGAAGGACGCTGTCATCATAGTGGCAAAGTGATCTTAGCAGGGAGGTCGTTGTATTAGCAGAATTGTCTGTCAGAGTAAATTCTGCCACCAGCTCCCGAAGAAGTGGATTAAAAGAACCTAGAGCAAAACAATAAAATACAGTTTTTTACATAGGCCATTAAACAATAAGCATCATATGATTCAGCCTAGTTTTAAAACAGGAAAACCAGAGCTAATAATATTCTGATCGTGTTAAATCCCATGGCAAAATACTGTATTACAGAAGCTTTGTATAATGAGCAATTTCCCCATAATATTTATATGATTACAAGGTCATTATTTAAACAGAGCTCCTGGATATTTGCATGAAATGTTATTTAATGGCAGGGCTATTGTGTATGAAAGTGAGCATATGTGAGCACAGAGTTTTGCTGAGCTTTCTGTCATTCAAAAAATACAGAAATAAAATGTTTACAAAGTTTCTGCTTCCTATTAAAGTGGTATTTTTTTAAGAATAGGAGAAATAGTGAAAAGAAGTGAATTTTACCTTCATATGTTTTTGGTGGTAACAAAGCCAAAATGTCATAAAGCCTTAATCGAACCATTGCTGCGCTTGCCTTCAGATGTGCTCCATGGGTTTTAATTACAGAAGGAATGCTATTATGTTAAAAAACAACCATGAAAGTTACTATTATATTAAAAAGCAATTTAATTTATTCTGTAGATACAGAATACCTTTTCCCCTAAAATTTTGGAAGATGCATGCCAAAAGGGAAACATGTTATTTTGCTCTTTGAAATTACAGAGGAAGGGAAAGTTGGAGAGAGAACACAGGGTATTAATGAATTTACTCTAAGTTCATCACTCATACACATCGGAACTCTCTTTCACATGAATTTATTACAATTTAGCCATACACCACAGCCATCCACATGTACATATCCATCTGGGGAGGGAAAATATAAAAAAGATTAACAGAGGAGGATAGAGGTTGTTTAGCAGTTGCAATAAGTACCCAGATCACAGATTGTGTTCCATTAGTGATTAGGCAGACAAACCAATTTTAAAAGAAAATTCATTTCAATTACTAAGAAACATACTTACTGAGACATCATTGTCATAGCACATTCAATAGGTGTCATCAATTTTCGAATAACATCTTCTGTTAGAAGTTCAGGACAGTGGGCAACAAAACTCCTCATAGCTAGCAACAAAGTTCAGGACAGTGTAAAAAATAGTAGAAATTCTAGCTTTAAAAAATCAGTATAATTTAAGTATCTATCAAATACATAACATAATTAACAGTTGAATTAATGTATGTTCAAAATAAAATTACTGAGGACAAGAAAGGACATATGGAGCCATAGTAGAGCAGTGGTTAGAATGCAATGTTGCAGGCTAACTCTGCATTCCACTGCGAGGAGTTCTATTCTGACCAGCTCAATGTTGACTCAAGCCTTCTATCCTTCCAAAGTGACTAAAACGAGGACCTAGATTGTTGGGGGTAATATGCTGATTCTGTAAACCACTTAGAGAGAGCAGTAAATAAATATAAAGCAGTATATAAGCGCTATTGCTATGCCATTCTCCCTCCCTCCCTCCCTCCCTCTCCCCCCCTCTCTCTCTCAGAAATAGGGGTCTCTGCTCAAACTACAGCTTTCCATTAAAAAAAGATAAACTGGTTATCTACAAACACACATACATAATATAGTGATCTAACAAATACAATGTTCAATTCAATTATATTTGCATCCTGTTAAAAAAAAATTAAGAACATCCTATCCTAAGAACTATTCCTATCCATACTCATATACTAACATATTCTAACTATGGATATGATGAAATACAATCTGGCTGCATGTTTTCCAAATATATTCTTAATATTTTTCATTTCAATGCTCATAGCATAGGTACCAGTTTTTCCTCCACTTTGTCACAAGGAACCAACATCTAAAGATTATTCAGAATAGACGTTTTATTCCTTTTGATTCTAGCCGATTACTTTATTCATAAAATATGGAATTAGGCTGGCTGAAATAGTATTGGACAAGATTACTGTATGTTTGAGATTCATACCACAGAGAGCTCCTGCACGTCCTTCCAGTGTTACTTGCCATGTAAAGGAATCTCCACGAGCTTTTTCAGCTTCTAATTCCTTTAGCGAACGAGGAAACACATTTCGCCATAGTAACAACATTTTAGGAAGATGGTAACGGACAACTGAAGGACCTACCAGGAACACAAATTATACTGGAGCTTAATAGGTCTTCATGAAATATAAAGCCAAAGAATTCTAAACAGGCGTCAATGCTATCCGTAGATGATATTTTCAAAAACTGGCTTTATATTTTATATGCCACTTGAAATTTTTTTAATTAAAATAGAATTATACATTAAAATAAATAACTTGCAATGTAAGGTTAGGAATCTTATTGCAATTATAACTGATTGTAAGTTTAAGAAATATTTGTCCTTTATAAATATACTTACATATTAATAATATTAAAAGATTCAAATCAACTAAAGCTAACTTTCATATTCTGTTACTATTCAATGTACTAATTACAATGTAATATTCCTAACTATTGATCAGAGTACATTTCTACCTAGATTGTTTACTTTATAACAAAAGTATTCTGATAAGACAATTGCACTTTCAAATAATCTCCATTTTGGTAGCAAAAGCAGAACATGATAAGGTCTAGTATTAGGGAGATATCCACAAACTTGCTGCTAAATGCAAGTCAGATTTCTAAAAGTAAGAAATGTGTATATACACACCTAAAGTCATTAGAGCCCCCAGCAAAAGCCACCCGGCCTGGGTTCGCTGTAAGGACAGCCTGCTATTTTGTGCAGCAGTCCGCAAGAGATCCTCAGCAATGCTAACAACCATCTAAAATAAAGGGGAAATTAACTTAGAAGTGAATTAGAAAGCATCTTAATAAAACTCATAACTTAACATTAACACAGGATAGAAAATAAAAACTTTATTTAATATTATGTTCATTGTTGTCCAAGTTGTTTTTCCTTTAAACAGTAAAATGAAGAAGTCAAACAAAAGAAGGGGTTGAAAGACTCAATAGGGAATAGTTGAGACTCAGGGTAGGCAAACAAAGAGTACTAAAGAAAACAAACCAAGATATGGAATGTGGCAATAAGAGAAACACCTTGAAAAGAAGAGCAAAAAAGGAGGAAGTGCTCCACCATAAAATGAAATTTGCTTTGATTGTTGTGACGATAAACATATTCACCCAGGAATAAGCACTATTATGTAGATGTAGATGTAGATAAGTTTATTTATAGGCCGCCCTTTTCCCTGAGGGGACTCAGGGCGGCTTACAACTTATGGGGAAGGGAATACACACAATGACATATGGAAACAATACATAATTAAAAATGGAAGCAACATTCATCATTCGGGCGGGGACGGATTATAATCTTTAACTCCAGGCCTGACAGGATAGCCAGATCTTGAGGGCTGTGCGGAAGGTAATAAAAATGAGCATAGTATAAAACACTACAGCAATTTAGGAGGTCAGATTAAAAAGAAGCATTTTAGTATCTTATAAATAGGCAGGAACAATCATAATTTAAAAACTGATGCTTCCTACTTTAGGAGCATAACAGTGTTTACAAAAAGGCATTTCCTTTTTGGCATGGCTAATGTATCTCAGAGAGGTTCACAGAGAGGTACATGTTCCTTGGTATTTATAGCTTGAGCTTTTCAGACTTTAAACCTTGAATATTACTGGGAATCTTAACATTCAGCAATGCAGATCTTTGAATGCAGCTTTTTTTTTAATATACCATGAAATAGTTCATGTTATTTTGTGACAGCCTCCTTCTGTACCCCAGCATAAATAAAACATTGCCAGAAATGCAAGTATTAATAATCTCACCTTTCCTTTGGCATGAGGGATGCCTAAAGAACATTGATGAACGCCACCTAACAAAGCAGCCATTGCAAAACTGTATCCACTAACAGCTTCTGGGGAAGTCTTCAGGTTGTTAAGCCTTTCTGCACACCGGTCCAATAACGGAGTCAACTGGAAAGGCAAAGCGACAGCCACACAGCGCAAACACCATGCAGCAGCAAGTCGAGCAGCCATACTAGGATGGAGAAGAACCGAAGTAACCGTCTCAAGCAATCCTGAAAACAAACCAGAGAAGGAAATATTTTGAGGAAACCACCAAAACATTTATTTTTGGTAGATTTGGTCAAAGAAAGAAGTTGAAATGATGTAACTCTTTCAGATTGAGTAGCAAAAGATCCAAGGCCATCTATTTTTGATGTTTTAATTTTTTTAAGTCTTAAAAACATCAAGAAGCATTCCTAACACAAAGCACTCCTTAGAAGCCAAATTCAGAGCCATTGGCTATAGTCTATTCTAAAAAATAGGTTTTATCTGCCTTGCTAATTCACTAGCATGTTAATTTTTCTTTTTCTGTAGGAAACAATTTTAACAAACCACACAGATTTCTAATCAATATATGCACTATGTATTATCTAGATTTCTATAGCTGCCCTTCACACCATAGCAACTCTGGACGTTGAATAATACTGAAAATAGAAAATACAATACTTTAAAAAAACAATTAAATGGCTGAGAGTAAAAAACACATCAAAAGCCACGTCAAGTCTCTGTTATGCTTTATATTTTTTATCTTTATGCTTTACGGTTATGCTTCATCTTTTTGATTATGCTGATAAATAAAACAAATAGCATCAATAAAATCAATTGTAATATTTTGATTGCATATTACATTCTTAAATCTGTATATATTATATCACTTTCACATTATTAATTGCCCTTAAAAAGGTCAGAAACTGAACTTTAAGTAAACAAAACAATCAAAAATACTTTCTATCCATTTAATCAACTAAACTTCCAATCACTGGGATGAAAACTAAAGAAGCCATAAACACCTCATTTTTCACTGGTACTTAAGTTTATATTTTACAACAGTATTGCATTACACACATAATTAAACGGTAGAAATAAATAAATAGCTTTACTAATTATTCTTAGTGTGCCTAGCATGGCAATCTGAATGATTTACCTATAGAAGGTTCCTGTATAAGTGGTGATGCAGTGGCATTCAGGCTTTGAACTAAACTTCCTAGCTCTTGAAGAGCACAAACCATTACATGTTGACTTGCGGCAACTTCTGCTGCTCCTGATTTGTTTTCAATATTAGCATCATTCACAACTGTTTCTGTCAAAGTAAATTGGAAAATGGTGAATAATACAGTATTCTATTACACTTAAAACATACTGCTTTGGAGGAGTTTCCAAAAACGTATTTCAGAGTGCATGAGAAAGAAGCCCAGTAATTGGATGGTCTATCCTCCTTTCCTAACCCAAGTGCCAGAGATCTTCAAAACGTAAGTATGAGATGGATGAGGGTGAGGAAGGGGATGTGGAGCACATTGGTGTAGGATGGGGAAGACATAGGCAGTGGAGTGCTACAACGTCCTTGCAATCAATTGTAAGGGCGAACAATCATGGGGATGCTGTAATGGCTTTAACGTTGACTTAAGTCATAAGTAGCTTTCGGAGGGTTCCCCTGTAATTGTTTATAAATCGAGGCCTACCTGTACTGCATTATATATTTCACACTCATTATTCTTCAGGCATACAAAATATCTCATTTATATCATAACCACATAATTCAGTGTCCTACGGACGTACTGTAGCTGAATAAATTTGAAAACTAGCACCTCCTTATCCTAGAATTGAAAAGATTGGACAGCGATAATAAAAACAATACAGGCATACACTAATTTTTTTCTCTCTTACCTACTGCCTTCATCTGTTTATCAATAGCCTGACAAATATCTTTAGCAGCCGCAATCTGTGCCTTCTCTCCCAATAGACTTCCTACTGTCGCTCTGAGGATAAAAGAGACACATCTCCGAGAGTAGACAGCTTCTACATGAGTTTGAGTTGCACGAGGATGAGAAACCAAATCCAGCACGTGTGACAGGAAAATTGCAAAATTGCGTTCTAGCCACTGACCTCCTAGGGTTGTGACAAAGACAACGTAGGCCTGAAAAATTCAAAATTATTAAATTGCTTGAGGTATCTGAGATTTGTACTCTGAATTTAAAATTCTATTTACACCTTTAACCTTCAATTCTCCAATGTCCCCTATCCCACCCCTTAAAACTATATGTTTTGTTTCTGAAGTGAAAATACCAGATTAGGCATCTATTATTACAATCACATAGGTTTATCAAGCTCAGTAACATCTCATCTATAATGAAAACTGGTTACAGTCTCTATAACTAGTTCTCGTCATAGTTATAGCTCTTTAATATCATAATAATGATAATATTGTGATGCTATATATGACATAATATATTGCCTCCACGTTGTTGGAAGCACTCAAAAGTGCTTCACCTTCTTGAAGAAGACTGTCAAGAGTTTGAGCAGACTTTTCTCTTAGCAATTTAACAAGCATCTTCACTTATCTACCTAATTTAATCTATCCGTTGTGTAACATATTATAATTAGGACCTGAAAGATGAGGTTATTCTTGCCTATGCCTGCAGCATTCCATATAGGATTTTTGTTCTTTAGCATAAACAAATAAGTAAATAAGTTTTATTCACTGACACTTGCTACTGCTGTTGAAAAGGCTCCACATTTCAAAAGAATTCTATCTTGACTTTCAAAAAACAGCCAAATGGCCATTGGGCATACCTGCTCACTTCTTTGAATCTCATTATATACTTATTTGTCTGAAACTGTAAGAATACAATTGAAAAATAATGAAAAGCAATCATTATATGCTCATTAGTATATACAGAACTAGTTTCTAACTAGTTCTATGAAAGTGGGTTTTTTCTGTTTTCCTGATTATGAAAATACTTTAAATCATTTTTAAAAAAAACATACCTGAGTAACCCCAACTCTCACTTCTCGATTAACAGATCCTCCTACTTTTAACATCTCTCCACCACTTTTTAAGAACCCAGATCCTCCTCGCAAAAAACCAGTGGCCATGAGTTCTAAAACCTCTTCTAATGTTGCTTTCTTCACATTCTGGCGCATCACTTAAAGAAATAAAGAGAAAATATTATTCAACTGAATATTTTCAATCCGTTCTCATTGTACTTTTGAGATTTTGGTAAGTACTGTGTCATGTTAAAGATACCAATGTCTTTACAGACATGAAATTAATACAAATTACACAAAATTAAAAACTATGAATATACATGATTTTTATCATTGTTTACAGTTAATAGTAAACACATTAAGCTTATCCATGTGTCTATTACTGAAAAACAAAATAATAATGATATGAATAACTCAATGGATTATACCTGCTGCTTGCTTTGGTATCAGTGCTGTAGCCATAACTGTCCCCAGAAGTTTGGATACTGCAACTCGTACACCATAATTTGAGTTCTCCAGTGCTTTAAAACATAGAGTTGCTACATTTTCTAATTCTGTTGTCCACATAAACACAGCTTCATTTTGAAGTTCTAGTAGACTCTGCCAGGGGGAAAAATCCCAAAACTATTAATACTTTTTGAAAGTTTGTCCATTCATACTTCGAATTCAGCCATCCCAATGACTATCCTTTTTCCTTTTAAAAAACAAATTGTAGCTGCTGAAGAAGCTTCCTGAATGAGAAGTGAAATGTCTTCAAAGAAAAACAAGAAAGTCCAGTTGCCTTTTGAAAAAGCACTTTTGGAATATTTGATTTGCATCTCAACTTTAACACCTAATGTCAGAAATAAGACTGTGAATGTGAATATTGCTCTGCAGCAAGCTGCACACCTACAGAAAGTGATAAAAACTAAACTCCAAGCATATCACTGTATCTTTCCAGAAGAATCTATAACAGTGGTTATAGGAGAGAAAAAAAGCTGTATAAGTATAGGGGTAGTGCCTCTTTCTACAACAAGCTATACAACACAGAAAGCATACTTAGAACACTAGATAACCTAGAAGTGCTATGAATGATGCAGTAATGTTTCTACCATTTAAACAATTAAGCAAGCTTACCTTTGCTACTGCACAGCGCACAGCCATAGCTCTGTCTGTCAGGAGCGACCGGGCATTCTTATAAATATCACGATGACAAGAAGCTGCTGCACCACCCAAGCCACTTAAGACTTTTTGCAAACTCATTAATATTTCACTCCGTCCCTGTGACTGCAAATCACCAGAAGACATAAACATATTGTATTTTTACCAAAACCATGCTTCTCATTTATATGTTTAACAGTTATCTCATTTAAAGGTATATGTTCTAATGAAAAAATATCCTTCTTCTATTTGTAAAAACTGAACTCCTCATCATAATAGTAAATATCATCTTTTAATATAGTATGAAGATCATAATCCTTATTCCTAAATATGATGCTGAAAAACTCTGTTCCAAAATCACAATTTAGGGAACTCATATAAATCACACTTATTCTTTTTTAAACATATATTACAATCTTCTATTTTATTTTACAAATAGCTGCCACATTTTATGCATACTTAAAAAGTAAGATTATCATTCCTTCAGCCATTTCTTTTTTTAAAAATAAATAAGAAATTGCTTCTAATTTTCTTTTCAAAATCAAACTAGGAAAACCATAAGGGGTGATTGATAGAGGAGGTAATCAGTGCTGGGATTCAAATTTTTTTACTACCGGTTCTGTAGGAGTAGCTTGGTGGGCATTGCATGGCTTGGTGGGCGTGGCAGGGGAAGGTTATTGCAAAATCCCCATTTCCTCTTGATCAGCTGGGACTTGGGGGGCAGAGAATAGATGGGGGAAGAGCCAATCAGAAGTGGTATTTACTGGTTCTCCAAACTAATCAAAATTTCTGCTACCGGTTCTCCAGAAATTGTGAGAACCTGCTGAATACCACCTCTGGAAGTAATCCCTATTCACTTCACAAGTTTAAGATCTGATGGAAATACAACTTCTCCAACATATATGAGAACCATTCCTTTCCTGTAGTAGTAGAGTATAAATTATTTGGTATAGTATATTGTATGGATAACAGATGAATCTAGCCAAACGGTGCTTCAGCTCAACTGCAGGTTTAGTTGGTTGCCTTTTAATAATGTGAATTAGCTTTACGTGAAAATGCATTAGTTGAATATGCAAATACAAAAAAGCACTAAGATTCAATGCAACATTTATTTCAAGCAATAACTATGTTAATTATAAGTCACATCTCTCTTTTTACCTCACTACAACCCTGATAAGTACAAAGATTTTAGTAACATCTTAACATCAGGCTAATTTATTGTGCCATAAGCTTTCATGAACCATAACCCATTGAAGCCCACAAGAATCTATGACATAAGAATTTTGTTTTTATCTAGATGATCCAAAACTTTTTTTGTTATAGATCAGGATTATCAGATTAATTAAATGAATACAGTGCAAAAATACAAATATTCTGTGAACGTTTCTTTTACTTACTTCAGCACTTTTCAAAGATTTTAAGAGATTGTTAACTGTTTCAGGAAAGGAACTGCCCAGCATTCTTCCCATTTTCTCATAAAATGCTCCAACACATGCCACTGCAGTACTACAAAAATCAAGATAATTTTGATCAGATAATTTCTAATTACTAATAGATTCTGTCAAAAAACCCTATGGTGAGACCGTGGAAGGGAGGCCAATGGGAAATCCCAAGCCTTCAGAATAAACTTTGAAATAATAAAAAAATTATTTGAAGATGATGATAACAAACCATTTCTCCACTATTGCTTAAAATGTGTCCATTTAATCACAGGAGTCAAACTCAGCTCAAAAACTATCTCTTTTAAAAAGGAGCATCAAGCGATATACTTTCCAGCAAAGATGCAAACTTTAAAATTCAAATAATCTGAATTATAATCTGGATACTGCAGTGATTGTACAGATGAACAGATTAGCAGTGAGGTAACAAGGAAACAGATATAAAGTTTCCTAACTTTGATCTTGTGGTTTCAAACAACTTTTCCTTCAAATAAAATGCTTCTACCAACAATTTGGCATATTTAAAGTATTTTATATGGATGTTCAAAATAATCAAATGAAATAGTCTCATCTGACTTTACATATTGGATATATTCCCTAATATATTTCTGAGATTGTGGATTTTTTCTGGTAGTGACATTTACTTACAGTTTGGTTGATAAATAGGCAGAAGTGTCATCTTTACTCCTGATGATATCATTACACTTATCAAGTGTTTGGAAGACAGTAAAAGTATCCCCAATGCTGTACAGAGCAGCAAGGTTTTTAGCAAGTAATTTCCTTGTTGGTGGACCAGGAGAACTGCTAATAAGACCTGTTAGCTGTTCAACAAGCTTTTTTTGTTTTTCTTTTACATCTGTCTGTTAATGAAACAAATGCAAATCTTGTTCAGTATTTATATGAAATTAATGAAGTTCATTATAAGCTTGTTATGTCATATCAAAATTTATTTCAGATGTTTTCTGGAAGTTTATTTCTAATGTCTGAATATGAACATAAAATCGATGACCATGTATTTAGACTAGAGGATTCATTAACTAAAGCTAAAAATACTTGCTTCACTTTCAAGTTTATTTCCATAAATGTCTTTGGCGTTTTTCAAAACACTGATGCCATTCAGTTAGAAAGGAAATTGTAATGCATAATTTAAGAAGCCTTTCATTGCAAATTAATGGTTTAATTTAAACTGAAACTTGAATTATCAGGTTATGTTAAGAACTTAATATCAATCACAGCTTTCTTTCAAAGGAAAGATCATAGACCAATAATAGCTATAGCACTTAGATTTAATATACTGCTTCACAGTGCTTTATAAACCACTCTAAGTGGTTTACAGAGTCAGCAATAATCTGACCCCCAATAATCTGGGTCCTCATTTTACCAATCTCAGAAGCATGGAAGGCTGTCAACTTTAATGTTCTGACCCAGCCTTAGCAGAAGCAAGAAACAGGCTCCTTGTCACAAAAAACCCCCTCTTTATTTACCTCTTGTGAATTAATGGCATTCACCCACCAAAAAGTCCAGATAAGAGTCCTGCAAGTAGTTAAATGCAGGAACAGACCTTATCAGTTCCCTGTGATAATTGCAAGAATGTAAGCTCCTAGCCGAAAGGCTGGAAATTAAGTTCTGGCAAGCAGAACTTAAAACACAATTTTGTATGCACAAAATACAATGAGCAAAAGCTTCAGAAATACAAACTGCTGTCTCCTATGACAACCACTTCCCTTTCCTTCTATTTATTCCCCAGTGAGGGAAGAGCCATTCAGCCTCCATTTGCTTCCCGAATTGACTTCTTCTCCTCCATTGTTCTCCTCTCCTAACTGCTCTGCGCATACATGCATCTGGAACAGCTGTTCTTCTTCCTCACTCGTCTCAGCCTCCAAAGACAGCTGCCTCTCCAATGGCTGGGAAATGTCAGATGGCCCTGGCTCTATCTGTGCATCTGACACAGAGCATCCATCAGAGCCTTCTCCAGACTCCAGAACTGGCCCAAGTTCCTCCCCAACGTTATCGTCCAATATGTCTGTCTGTCTGTCTGTCTGTCTATCCATCTATCTCTATCCTTAGATATAGATATAGATGGTATAATAATCACATAACATAATCTCAGAACAGAAAATGGAGTTTCTGTGTAAGTATGCATTATCAAAATCATAAAGAACAAAACAGCCCAATAATTTTATAGGATAGACTCAAATATTTAGGCAATTCAAAATATTTCAGGCATGTCACTTTGGTCATATTACAGAAGAGTCATTAATACAGAAATAAGGGCTGAAAAAATATATTCTCAAAGATCAAGTCAAATCCTGAGATAGGTAGCGAATAAATTTAATAATAAAAATTAAAATTATACCTTGTTAGCAGCTACAAGCACCTTCTCAAGAAACCGTAGCCACTCAAAGATAAAAACTGGCCGCTTTGCTTCAGTGATTTGAGCCAAAGCCTCTTCATTTAATAACAAACTATGAGCAAGTTCCATAGCTGGTGAAATTCTTTTTGTACAGTAACTACCCTTGTTTCCTGTTATATAAATAAATAGAAAAACAAAAAACAGTAGATTTAAAATATCCCACCTAAAACAGTCTTAAAATGCATTTGAACTGGTTTAACTATTATTTTTATAGAACATCTTTTATTAATTCAGTCACCTACATATCTGCTACAAGGAACAGATTTTTAAAAATCTCCATCAAAGAGTGTGGATAAACAATGATAATGTGACTGATATGTGTGCATGCACTCATGTATGCTGGTGTACACATATATGGTAACCAAATTATTGTATACATTATTGTATAAATAATTTGGTTACCATATAAATATCATTAAATCAGTTAAAATTTTAGAAATATTTATTTCATTAAATTTTGGTACTGTTCGACTCCAAAATGATTTTGAGGATGTTTGTATGATTTACAACCAAGTGACAACTTAGTTAAGGTTTTTGTGGGTTAGATGTTGTGTGAATTCATTCCATTTAGCTCATTCACGATTCCTTGTATTGTGCAATCCTTGCCCCAAAAGGGATAATTCAATGACTGCATCAAATATGCACTATGATTGCAACTAATTGTTTGAGGCAGAAGAGCATGGACAGAAGTGTAAAATCTACTGTATTTTTCGGACTATAAGATGCACTGGAGTATAAGAAGCACCTAGATTATGAAGAGGAAAATATGGCCTCCCGAACCCCCCCCCCAGTCCCATTTTTGCTCTCCCCAGCCCCCAGGAGTATTCTTCAGGCTCCCAAAACCTTCACGTGTCCTGTTTTTACCAAAACAGATTCATTTTTGGTGAAAACAGGCCATGGGGGGGGGCCCTCCAGGAAGCCAAAAACAGAGCCATATTTGGTCTTTAAGATGCACCAACATTTTCACCCATTTTTTTGGGGGGGGGGCATTTTATAATCCGAAAAATACAGTAATTTGAAATGTTTTCACTTAGGCCTATCTATGAATTTTAGAAATCTATAGAATTTTATTTAATTACAAAAATGCATATTGCTTAAAGATTCAGATCCTACAAATGAGTATATTCTTTAAAAATAATATACTCTCAAATATTACAATTTCAAGTGTAAACTAACAAGAAAAAAATCAATGTTAAATAAAAACAGAAAAAACAATTTTCTAACAAGGAAGTGTATTTTAAAGAAAGAACTCCTTTATTTATTTGATATAGAATATTTCTTTTAAGTTTTAATAGGCAAATGAGAATAGAGGTACTCATGGTTGAATCATAAAATATGCTTTGATTGCCAGGGTTCAGCTCCTTAATATATTATTCAGGAAAAGAATACCTTTCCTTTGAATCTATAGGGTCTGTTCAGACAACTTTTTATTTAAAACTTTGCACTGAAAACTGTAAATTCAGATATAATTATTTTATTTCATTATATTTATACTGCCCAGTCTCACCTTAGAGAGAAGATGGATGGCATAAAAATTTAATAAGTATACATACAGCCATCCATCTCACAAAATGTGACTCTGGGAAACATACAACTGAAGTCCAGATAATTTGCTTCATCCAGAGTCCTCTGAAACTGTTGCACAGTCAGCTTGTCAATACCAATGATAAAAGCCGGGATTTTCTCTGGCTTTTTATTGGCAGTAGAGGCACCTCACAAACCCAGGTTTGATGTTACATAATGTATGAAACAGTTCCCATATTGGAGTCCCTTTACCCATATAGTGGCTCAGCTGATGTGACATATTGAAACACCAAGCAGCCAGATGCCATTCTATTTAACCACAAAATAGTTTATGGTTCAGTGCATCATGCACCTCCCAGAAAAAAATGCAGCCATGATGTATATAGATGGGTAAGCATATTATGCAAACATGGCTTATTATAAAAGGGATCCCACCCTGGGCGCAATTATGTAATACAGGTATTCCTTGATTTATGACCACAATTGAGCCCAAAATTTATGTTGCTAAGTGAGAAATTGGTTAAATGAATTTTATCCCATAAAAATTATTTTTTATGACTTTTCTTGCCACATTTGTTAAATGAGTCGCTGCAATTTTCAAATTAGTAATACCGCTGTTAAGTCAATCTGGGTTCCCCACTGACTTTGTTTGTCAGAAGGTCACAAAAGGTAATCACATGACCCTGGGGACACTGCAACTTGTGGTTAATATGAACCAGCTGTTAAGCATCCGAAAGTAAATCAGGTGACCATGGGGATGCTGCAATGGTTGTAAGTGTGAAAAATGGTCATAAGTCACATTTTTCAGTGCCATTGTAACTTCGAGTGGTCCCTAAACCAACGGTTGTAAGTCGATATATTATATCCTTTGCATCCTAGGGTCACCTGCTCGTACTGGCAAAACCTGAAGGGCAGTAAAGAGACACACAGGAAAACTGCACCTCTTTTCTGCCATTTAGTGGTCTCCGGAGCTTTGCAACCCAGATCGGAGACTATCCCGTGACGACGGTCCAAAGTGTAATTACTGGAAAGGGACCTTTAAGGAGCCGCTGTCAGTTGGACAGAGCAGGTCCCGGGCCATTGTCACACCTGCCTACCATCCATCCATCCATCCATCCATCCACCCATCCATCCATCCAGAGAAAAGCCAGCCACAGGGACGACGGATGCCACCCCAGCGGGCGATGCCACAATGGGGAGTCCGAGGTGGCGCTACTCCCACCCGGAGAAGCTGCCATCGTCTTGCGCTCCCGCTTCCTTCTTGCGGTCTTTTCAGCCCTCCCACTCCTTTCCCCACCGAGCTCTTCCCCACCGAGTGCAAGCCCCGCGTCTCCCTGCCCAACCTTTCCCTACTGATCGTCCCACCTGAGGCAGCGGCGGCCACCGACTCAGCGGAGCCCCGAAGGTCGCCGAAGCTTACGCCCCGATCCGGCCCTTCCCAAAGACCAGCTGAAGCAGCGCCGGGTCCTGCGCATGCGCTCTCGAGACCCAGGAAGTGAGGCCACTACCAAGGCGCATGCGCAACGGCGCAACGATTTAGGAATTCAGGAATGAAGGATTTCGGCGCGCTGCGTTTTTGTTATCGGTAAGGAATAGTACCTAGAGGAGAAAATATTGAGTATTGCTGCCGGGGGTTGGGTAATGGTTAGATCAGTCCTAGATCACATCAGTCATACCATAGCAATCTAGATAGGTAAGTTGAATTAAGTAATCTCACCCAGTCAGCTTCCACGAATGAGTATGACCTGAATTTGGAGTTTACAGAGCAAAAGACCAACAACCTATCATTGCCCTGCTTTGGTTTTCTCTAATGAGCTAATGATGATGCTCTGGCTATATAAGAAATCGGGGTTTTGGGGAACAATCATACACAGAAATTAAATTTGGGGTTCACCTTACATCATAAGTATGGAATTTTCCTCTAGAAAGAAAAGGTGTGTTTGATGCTTTTTAAATTAATTATAAACTATTTATAGGTAGCACGGTTGGAGGTGGAAGATTGATATGAATCATGGATGACACAGAAGATGATTATATGTCTGATTCCTTCATTAATATTAAGTAAGTGGATGTTTTTGTAAGTATATCCTGCTTGCCTGTGCTAGTAAGGATGCTGAAGCTTAAATGGCTCTATGAAATTTCAAATATCCAATACCCAAATAAAAGTGGATACAATTTTGCAAGTATAGATTTTGCTTTAAAATTCTGCCCACATAGAACAGCTTTGAGGAATGTAATTTACAGAGTTAAATTAGCACTAAAATACAGGTGAGCAAGTAATTTTCTATGGCATATTTATATTTTATTGTTTTCCAAAAGAAAATGGAAGAAGGAAAAATCAGTAAAGCTATTAATCACTATTAATATAATTCATTATTCAGCATGTATGTAAACTAAATAATCCTTAAAGTATGTTAATGTATTATACAGTATGAACAAGTACAAAAATTAGAGATTTCCAAAATAAAATAGACTACATAATTGTAAATCCAGGGAAGCTCTTATATCACTGTATGAACTCTGTACTCCATTTTGAAGTCTCCAACCATTAGCTGAATACTTCAGCTTCTCCCCCCCTTTAAATGGGATATAGATGTCCAATGAAGAATGGCTAAGGTACTAAAAGGGTATTCTTCATTAATAGCCTAATGAAGAGAAGGCTTAGAAGGTGACATGATAGCCATCTTCCAATATTTGAAGAGGAACTGATCAATTTTAAAATGAATGGTCCAGAATGGAATAAGGATTCCTGCCGTGGGCGGGGGATTGAACTAAGGTCTTTTCCACCCCTATGTAATCCTAACCCTAACCCCTCCCCCCAAAAAAATTTTTTTTAAAAAATAAAATAACTATAAACATATTAAAAGCAGGATAATGATTTTTCGACAGTATCTTGTATTTAGGTAACTTTTTAAAATTTGTTTTGTTCAGCCAGGACATCAGGCCAGGAATGCCGATTTTGAGACGTGTAAAGGAAACTTTTAAAAAAGAGGAAAAAGCAAAAGAAGCTAACCAGAAAAGTAGGCAAAAGAGCATCAAAGAACAAGAAAAAGAGCAACGTGAAATGGTTTTAAATGTTGCTTTGGGGAATGAAAATAAAGGCTTTGCTATGCTCCAGAAGATGGGGTACAAAAGTGGCCAGCCTCTTGGCAAAAGTGGTGAGTTTTTCCATATCCAGTTTTTGTACTGTGACTGTGCTAAGCAATCAGGTTTTACTGCCCATAAATAGTTGTGCTGGTACAAAATCCTCTGCTGGCACAATAATGGAAAAGGGAGCCAGAGATATTTAGCAATTTATTTGTTACATTTATATTCTGCATTTCTTTAACACAACACATTTCTTCTTTCTCTTCACTCCCAATTTTACTTTGTCAACAGCTCAATGAAACTAATTAGACTACTCCAGAAGTTGCTTAGTTAACTTTTTGTCTCAGTTGGGATTTGAGCCTTGAGTTTTTGCCAACTCTAAGGCAACCTTCAGATCTCTGCCATTGTCTTTTGAACCATTGGAGAGAAAAATAGAATTCACAAAGTGACTGACTTGGGAATATTACAAAAGAATGGAATGTCTGTCTGAGTTCCTTAAGACCAGAGAACCAGTATGGTCTTGCAGGCTAACCTGCTTCAATTGAACAGATTGTTGAGCTTGTAGAAGACAAAACAGGATATAAATCTAAGAAATTAAAATATATATACATATAGGAGGGAGTACAGTAAATACTATTATTATTAATATTTTAAACTTGTATACCAGCTAGTTCTCAATGACTATGCAGTTCAGAGCAATCATACAAAAATATTACAATAAAATCAAAAAGGTAAAAAGATAAATGATAGCAAGCACAATGAAGCTTGTTATTTTGTTATTTTACTAATAGCAAATACATTTTTTCCTTCCACAGGAAAGGGGATAGTTGAGCCCATTCCTCTGAATATTACCACAGGTTTGTGAAATGTCTGACCTTTTTTCCTTCATTTAAACATGGTATTGCTCAATCCTTCAAACAACTGCTTGTATTTGGCATAGGAAGAAGTGGGCTTGGCCATGAAGAATTACAAAAACGAAAAGCTGAAGAAAAGCTGGAAAACTACAGGAAAAAAATGCATGTGAAAAAACAAGTGGAAAAGCAGACAACTGACCTCTTCAAGTAGTGTTCTCCATTTATGTTATTCCTCTCACAGTTTCTCTTAACTGTTAATACCATAATTAAGCAAGAGTTGTATTTAACCTAGGCAGCATGTATTTTGTGTGTTGAAGGTTTCTGGTGTAAATCCTGGCACTATGAGATAAAGCTGGAAAAAATATCTTGCTGGAATTTTACAGAATTCATGCTGATTGCTGTATACCTAATTCACCACTCAGCAGCTCCACCTAATGTGATAAGTGTGGAAAGAAGCTATTCCTGGAGGATCTCAGATTCTTTCCTGTCTTAAAACACAATATTAGGGATGAAGCTACTCTGTTTTAGCTCATACATTGAGTTTATTAATATCCCGAAAAGGAAAAAATGTTTTGATAAAAATACAGTCTTCTATTAAATTTACTGGTTGTGGTTTTGTCATTGTCTTATTAAGAATGAGATTGAAGACCAAGCAGGAGCAACTGCAAGTAAAACGGGACCTCGAGAAAAGTCAGAAAGCCTGCCAACAATTAGATACCCAGAAAGTAAGCTTAACTAAAATCTTTATTTATGATTTTGGCCTGTAGAGGCTTAGGAAATCAGAGTTTATGCTCTGCCTTGATCTACCTATTTTAGCCTTCCAAATAGACAGTGGAGTTCAACAAACTCAGGAAACATTTTACAACAACCTTGTATCAGTGGAGATTCATTTGGTACATCCATCAGTTGTTTTTTTTTATTTAAAAAAAGTCTTAGTTTTATATAAATGATTGGCCTGGAATCATAGGTCAACAAGCAGGAAGCTGTTCACAGGATTGCTACCAACAAGACCAACTTTTTGAAAGATATTTTTTTTTAGTACTGCAATGTCATATGTTTAAAATATCAAAACTATGATCTGTGCTATAGTGCCTTGGGCTGCATTTTTATTTCTTTTCTTTATTACTATTAATTGAGCATATATACAACCCTTTCTATAAAAATAATGAAGCAGTTTGTAGAATGAGAATCCAATTAGAAATAATACTGTACAACAGCATGCCATTCCAATATCTAGATGAAAAGCAAACATTAGGGAGTTCCATAGGAAAGACATCGTAACCCAAATACTCAAGCTCAAATTAACCACCATGCTGAAGGTATGGCTCTGCAAGCAAGATGTGTAGTCCTGGCTACTGCATATATGAAATAATTTTCCAGAAAATATTTGGGTGTCAAGTAATCTCTTTGAAGTATAAGTAGTAACTGGCAGCTTGTATAGATTGAAGAAACTGAATGCAACGTGACTCCAGCCTTACACATTACTTATGGAGAAATGACAACTTGCAGCAACTGAAGGTTGTAGAACAGCCTTCATTGGAATTGCAGGTAGTCCTCAACTTGCCATCTTAATTGGGATTGGAACTTTTGTAGGTAAGCGAGGTGGTCTTTAAATGAGATACACCTGATTTTATGACTTTTTTTTGCCATGGCCATTAAGTGAATCACACAGTCCTTAAGCAAATCCAATTTCCCCCATTGACTTGGCTTGTCAGAAGCCAGCTGGAAAGGTTGCAAATGGCATTTCAATGAGCTGAGGACATTGCAACTGTTGTAAATACCTGCAGATTTCCCAGAAATTGAATTTTGATCAAATGACCACGGAGATGCTGCAACAGTTATAAATGTAAGTCATTTTCTTCAGTGCCAAACTGAATAATTACTAAATAAATGACTGTATAGTAATCTAAAATTGAAATTGAGATATGAAGATGTAAGGTTAGGTTTGCCCCAGATCTCTGAATTACTTTATCCAGCAGTTTCATATATATGTGAAAAAGCATTGTGGATGGAATTCTACATCCCCTACAGTTTAAACACTGCAGGGCTAAGTAGACCTGCCACAGTAATACTATGAAACCAGAACTCACTCATCACCAAAAAAAATCCATTTTAAAAGGATAATCTGATTGATAATATAAAATAAGTCACAAGGTCTAAGAAATCAAGAGCTTTATTAATATGCAGTGTCTCCTAAAATTAGCTTTGTGTTTAATATATTTTTTGCCACTTGGGCAAAGGTTACAACAGCTAAAAAATCTAATAGTGTAGAGTATGACTTGTTGCCATGTTTTTATTCAAGGGCCTTGAAGTCCCCAAAGAGGTTTGGTACTGGTTAAATTTAAAGACTGAAGAAGACAAAGATGAAGAAGAGGAGGAGGAGGAGGAGGAGGAGGAAGATGGACTCAATGTAAGTACATGTTCAGATATTGCTTTAGCAATTGTTTTGGGTGGACTGGCTGGTAATTTTTTATATTATGATGCTCCATAGTGATCCCAAACTAGGTGAAACATAAATTTAAATATTTACTGCCGGTAAATATAAATATTGAACAAAATGAATGCATTTTCATCACTCTTGATCGATTTTGGTTTAGCTTGAGTGCATCCATGTATGCACAATATACATTGATTGATCTATGATGTGCCATGAAGCACGTTTCTGCTCTTAGAGACCATATAGATATATTTTCTATAATGGTCTGACCCTGGAGTCAACCTGAAGTTCTCCAGCTAGACAAACATTGGGGATGTGAGTTCTGAAGAGTCTCACGTGAACCCTGTCTGACAAACTGTCTCTGAGATCTGTTTTTGGATCAGAATCCCCCTGTGGGGGAGTATAAAGAAGGGGCAGTGTCTCATCAGACCCAGAGGAAGTGCAAGAGGCCCCTTGTAGGTCAGAGATTTGTCCTCTGAATCAGAGCTGGTGTGTCAGCAGGCCAAAGCAGCTAAACAGGAGCGTGTAGAGACAAGATGAAAGCCTGTTAAGATCTATTAACCCACAGTTATAAATCAGAATTTGGAAAAGGCAAAGAACCTTGATAGCATAAATAATATTGATGGACAGATCGGGATTTTTGTGAAAAGGAAGAAGGGGAAAAATGGAGGGTTCAATCACTGGCCCCAAAGAGAGCCATTTGCTTGAAATAATTTGGACAGACAGGAGAAAGAAGAGAAGTGACAAACCCACTTAAACACAAACTCTGAATTTGGTTTTGGACTTGAAACAATTGTGTTTTTAAAGGATTCTAGGAGCGTGAAACTAACATATCTTAAGCAACTCCAATTAATGAGAGCTGGAATGCAACAAGGGAGAAAGATCAAGAAAAAAGCACCATCTCCTTATTGACAACTGATAACCTAATCTTGCCTGTGTGGGAAATTTTAATTAAACAACTGCCATAAATCAGAACTTGGAAAAGCAGAAAGGAAGAGAAACATACTCAAATTTGGCTGTATATGCAAGTTTGTTCCAATTAATATATTTTGAGCAATTATAACCAATGAGAAGCGGAAAGTATCAAAGAAAAAATAATAGCAAAATCAAGAACTGGGGAAATATGAAGTCTTTTGTTTCTTTTTTGTCTGCAAAAGATCAAGATGGCTCCAGCTTCTCTTCCGTTTTCACAGTAGTTGAATTAACTAAATTTAAGGTGGACCAGAATCTCAAAATAAGATTGGTATAATTAACTGCAATTTTGGAACTGGACATTAAGAAAGAACAAAAGACCAAGATGGCTCCCGTCACTCTTCCCCACAGCAGCTGAAGTAGATAAATTTAGGGTGGACCAGAACTCTGAAATAAGAATTGTATAACTAACTGTAACTTTGGAACTGGACATTATGGAAAGGTAGGAATTTGAAGAACTACATGAAATTATAAAAAATATGAATAAATCATTAAAATCAAGCCTAAATATAATTCTGAATTCAGAGAAGCAGGTATTTAAAGAAGAAGAGAAGGAAGTAGGGGGGAGAGACAATGAAGGGGAAGAAACGGTGGGAAATAAAAAGCAGACAAAAAACTTCATAGGGCTTGGCAGTGGTATAGGGAAAATTGTAAAGATCTGTCCCAACAAAAGGGAATAAAAAGCAGACAAAAGATGTTTTGGAGGTTGACAGTGGCATATGGAAAATTGAAATAGTCACGCCCCAACAAAAGGAAATAAAAAAAATCTTTTTGACAGAGGCTTGGGGAAAATTGAAGAAGGTACACATGTCAAAGCAAAGAAAAGGGAGAAGGCAGGAATAGAGAGTGGGACAAAAGACTTACTAGGAAAAAATCAGACGAGAAATTGTTATATGAGAAAATATAAAGCTAAGATAAGGCAATAAAATGGAGTTGCTAACTGACTGAATATGATAATGGACAGATGATTAAATAAAGGTTAAAACATATGGAATATGGACAAATATTTTCCACATTCCTGAAACTGATATATGGAGATTGTAAAGCAGAGGTTTGTGATTCACTTTTATACATTATAATTAAACTGAGTTGCTAATTGATTGAATATGACAAAAGAAGGACAATTAAGCATAGGTTAAAATATATGAAACATGGACATATATAGAACTTTTAAGATGATGAACAAAGTGAGATGTGTACTGCTTGTTATTCTATATAGTAGATTAAGGGAATTGTAATGAACATTGAACAGTAAGGATTGCCATTTATAGACAATTAAGGGTAATCTAAACCAAGATATGGAAAAATAGAGAGGGAACAGAAATATACTTACAATGGGAAACTATTGAAATTTAAAGACAGAATTGCAAAGTTGGGGGGGGTGTAAGAATGTATAATTATATAAATATAATCATGAGAATAGTTGGGAATTGTAACCAGGTCTACATCTCGGCCAAAATTAGGCGGCGGGGGGGAGTGTGTTAAAGTATAATGACTGTATATTATACTTTTTTGTTCTCTCTTTCAAAAAAGAGGAGGAAGCTATATGTTAAAATTAATTATGTATACTGAAAAGGAATTATAAATACCATCAACATAAAATGTAGCTCGCTCAGAAGCTGAAATACATCAAGTAAATGAGATGAAGAGTGTGAAGTAGAGGAGAGAGAGAAGGGAAGAAGAGACGGATAGGAGAGAGGGTGGGGGGCAAGAGGAGAGAAAGGAGGAGTGGAAAGGGGAGAGAGGAAAAGGAAAGAGGAAGGAGAAGTAGAGAAGATAAGGACGACAGAAGGAAGAAAGGAGGTAGGGTATTCACATTTTTGAACTTTGGTGTTGGGGAAGACTCCTGAGAATACCATGAACAGCCAAGAAAAGAAACAAATTGATCATGGAACAATCAGCCTGGAGTTCTCATTCAAGGCATAAAGAACCAAGCTCAAATGATTCTATTTCAGAGATATATGAAAGCCTAGTTCTCTGGAAAAGGCTCTAATGCTGGGAAAGTGGAAAGAAAGAAGAGGAAGGCGAACAACAAGGTGGATGGATTTAGTTACAGTGGCAATGGGAGCACATTGAGAGACTTGAAAGACCAGGTTTGGGATAGGTCATCATGGGGGAAAATCTATGTGGTTACTAGAAGTCAAAAATTACTTGATAGCATATAATAAATTATATATGATGTATGTTTTGATTAACTGCCATCAAAGCTACTGACTTTTAGTGACCTCACTGATCAATTCTTTCATGCATGCTTTTATGTGCCAATAAATAAGATGCATAAAAGCCACCTCAGTTTTTTTTCTAGTAGTAAGAAGAAATAATGAGGAGGAAGTAATAAAAAACATTAAAAGTCTTAAAACAGTCATTTAATAGGAGCAGCAAAAAAAGTGGAAGCTAAACATTCTAATTTATTTACTGTAACCTTTCATTGCCAAATCAATTACACATGTCTTTCTCAGATTGTTGGATCTATTCAATGGCATTCAAAGGTATATTTATTGGTGCTTTTTCAGGAATCAGAAAAGTTAATCAGTTTAACAACTTATTTAAGAGAGGAATATCTCTATTGCATCTGGTGCGGAACTGCCTACCAAGGTAAACCTAAACTGTTTTTTAAAAAATTCAATAATAAATAACTGGAATTTGCTTCTTTGTTCATAATCTATTATGATTGCGTTGCTTTTTTATTACTTATTTTCTAGAGTTTTCCTTGAAAATTTTGATGTTTCAGGATGTTTTACTATAGTCATGGATCTTTTATGTTTAAAAAGCTTTTAATGGTCTGGTATGGCTGTGTTTGTGATGATGTAAGTCAGGAAAATGAAAATGGAGAGGAAATCCAATTGTACCCTTGAAGTGCTATTGACCAAAGGGCTGATGAGCTGATCTTGCTGCTAGCAAAGAGCATTGTGGGGTTACAGCTAACATGCTGCTGGTGTAACTCAAAATTGTAGAGTGACAAAGAGATAAAAGAAAACAAGGGGAGAAACAACTACAAGGACTCCTGTAGAAGGAAGTGGCTTGAAAGAAAAATTGGAGAGTAAAGCTGCAAACACTGCACAGATCAGTGGTTGGTTCCCAGGTGAGGAAGAACAAAAGTCAACTATTGGTTTCCCTGGAGGAAGAGAAGTAAAGTCCCATAGAAGATGATATGTTATCCAAGTACAAAACAGGAAAGAAAGAGATTGGATAAAAGTTGGGATCTTACTCTAAATAAGTTTGCTGTAAATTGTAAAGCAGGATAAAAGCTTTCACTCACCATCTCAATTTTTCTATGATTGCCTCCCTTGAAAACCTAAATATTCCAATTCTAAGAGCCCAGTAGCACCGTGACAATCTCCTAAGAGTTTTGTTCTGAGGTCAGAATAAACCTAGGTGTCCTGTTTTGACCTTGGAATAAAACTTGACAACTTAAAAAGGGAAACAAGCTTGGAACTGCCCATTTAGAGTGTTCAGTGCTTGAAATAAAATTCAGAATACAGTCAACCCAGAACATTTTAGATGTGCTAGTTGCTTTGAGTTTGAAACAAAATACATTTCCCAGTTCTAATCTAGTACTGGAATCATGTGTGCTTGTAAATTCTGCAAATTTGTGTTTTTTATTTTATTTTGCAGATCAAGAAGATCTATCTTCAAATTGCCCTGGGAGCACATATACAGATCATGAATAAATCTATAAAAATTCAAAACAATAGCAACATTCTGTAATGAATATTCTGTCAATGAAGAGCAGAGCTGTGAACTTTGTTGTTCTATATTTTTCATTGAGCAAATTAGTTGTTTGTCAATGTTCTATGTTTGGGTATAAAATGGGCTTTCTGTTCTATTTAAAAATTCTTTGGAGTGTGAACTAATTTGTTATTTTTCCAAGTTATTATTTTTTTTAAATCCTGTTTACTTCTGAAAAACAAAATTAAAATCTATCATAATAGACTAGATGCTGCAAATTGGATAAATGCATGGTTTGATTTCAGCAAAGTAAAAATTTAAAGAAACCCTAAAACAATAATAAATTTAGCTGTTTGAAGGTCATTCTGTTTAAGTTCACAAGAAAACTTGGAACATAGAATTTGATAAGGGGATCATGGAAAATAATCCATTCTTCAACACACACAAAACCTCATTGTGCTTTTCTTCTCCTCTTTATTAAGTTTCTTAGCTTTTTTAGCCAAAGTTATTAGGCAAAATTGAAGTAATGCATAGACATGCAGCTGTGATTTGGTGTATGCATCACCATTGCTGAGTTAATCATTGGTTTGAGTTTATTTTGAACTTCTGGCAATCTGAATAACTTTTCTACAAACTCTTCCTTAGAGTTAACCAAAAGTCGGAACAATGTAGGTGACTGACAGCATGATGCTATCTTCAGACTTAGCCCTGGGGTTTCCTCTGTACCAATCAACATGTCCCGTGTTGTGTTTTAGCCATATATCTTATTTTTTAAAAATTTCCAGAGATTCTTCAAGAGTCTTATCACAAGTTGCATAGAACAAAATGATCTTTAGAAGCCAGCAAAACTCAAGTACTCAAGCTTTACCTACTTCCTATCATTTAATATGGCTACAAATTTACATTGGAATTCTTCCCAGTTACTAGCTTCCCAACCAAGAGATTTTTGTAAAAGGAGATGGAAAATCTGAGATTCAGGAGACTACCAGAAATAATTGTACAGCTTCATTTGTTAAATATTTATTGAAGTCTAGTTCATCCTTTCTCCATTTTTTTTTTACTTTGGAAAACCCTTGAAATAATTTCCAGGTCTTAGGGAACTCCTGCATACAAATTCCCATGGTTTAGTATAAAACCATCCTTTATTATATCTACAGGTCATAAATTCATTGGCAGGTTCATAAGATATACATATAATACCTACTAATAATTGTCAATGTTTTTGAGCCGGGAATAATTTTTGTGAATCTACCAATTTTGACCAACATATTAGCCTTTCCTTTTGGTTTGATTCCTTCTTATAGAATATCGTCTCTAATGTAAGTTAGTAGATGCAGGTAGAAAAAACTTCAAATTTTCCTGTTCTTAAAAATAAAACTGATAGCTTATCTTTCTTAAAATTAATATTTCATTTGCTTTCATACATTTTAAAAACTCAAAGCAAACATAGTTTCTATTAAAAAAAACCAAGCTTGAAACAAAATTTTCAAAAAACTTTTTATTTTTTTCAAAGATCCTCTCACCCACCTCTTGTAGAATCGGGGGTTGAGTTCAGAAATGCTGCTCTAATTTTTTCTTTTTCCAAAGAATTTGTGCACGCTAGATAAATTACACAATTTATACTGGACAGAAAACAATACTGAAGAAGTGAATTCAGGAGATACATTGTTAATTTTTAACATTTCTTTATATTGTAGAAATGAGAAGACAAAAGCAATATATGCTCTAGATCAGTGTTTCTCAACCTTGGCCACTTGAAGATGTCCGGACTTCAACTCCCAGAATTCCCCAGCCAGCAATCGCTGGCTGAGGAATTCTGGGAGTTGAAGTCCAGACATCTTCAAGTAGCCAAGGTTGAGAAACATTGCTCTAGATGACATGAAAGGACAGACAGTTATATATCTGGATTAATGTCTCCTTTTTAAAAATGTTCTTCGTTTTATCATTATAGATATTTTTTCAACCTTTGACTGTATCCTAATTGTTGTGTTATATATTGGTTTGTTTAATTGACTAATACATTAAATAGTTTAGAACATGGGTACCAATCTTTTGGCTTGCCTGGGACTATACTGAGTGAAGAGAAATTGTCTTGGGCTGTATATAAAAATATACCGTAATCAATGTATACAAATAGCAAATGTTCCCTTTTAATATGTGTGTGTGTGTGTGTGTGTGTGTGTGTGTGTGTGTGTGTGTATATAATCTTGTGGGATTACAGTACTAGCTACCCGGGTCTACATGCTCCTGCATGTTGGATATACCTAGTTTAGTAGCAATGACACTTAGACTTATATACCGCTTCACAGTGCTTTACAGCCCTCTTTAAGCAGTTTACAGAGTCGGCATATTGCCCCCAACAATTTGGGTCCTCATTTTATCCACCTCTGAAGGTTGGAAGGCTGAGTCAAGCTTGAGTTGTTGAGAATCAAACTGCTGGCAACTGGCAGTCAGCAGAAGTAGTCTGCAATATTGCATTCTAACCACTGCACCACCGCAGCTCTTAAACTATCAAAACACAAATGGAAGATAGCATATTAGATTGTATTCTATAAATCTGTTTTAGAAACAACAATTATAAGCACTGTTACATGCATTACTCTTGTAATGCTGGTGTTCTTGATTTTAAGGTAAATGAAAGCTAAGTGTAATTAAATGCATTCTTGTGCTTCCAAAACAGTTGCCCAAATATGCATTGCACATTAAAAGGTTGATTTATGGATGTACATCTACAGTTCTGCAAAAGAAACCAAACCACATCATCTATAACCTTTTTATAAATCAGTACTGTAGTATCTATTTGAAGCTTCAATAGCATTCATTTACAAAGATTCAAAAAAAATCTGAAAGGAAGTAAATACTCTGTCAAAACTGTAGATTAATCGCATAGCAAAAGATAGCAACTAACACTTGATTACATGAGTTAGAAGAAGAGTATTAAGTTCCCTAGGCAATATTAAACTTAACAGTATATTGAAAGTATTGGAATGGCACATTAAAACTCTTTGTAAAAAAAAAATCCAGATACATCAGATTGCCATTATGTGTTGGGACACAGGATGAGATCTCGCAAAGTTCACAAAAGGCACTCTTTCCATTTCCATTAGATCTTTCCATTTCACTGAAGTTCTTTGCATTCTTTGACTTCTCGGGAGAGCCCAAATATAGCAAGGCATAAGGAGCAAACCTAATCCTTCACATCTAAATGGGTCTCGCAGTATTTGTATTCACATTGATTTCAGGCATCAGGAAAAGCAAAAGAAACATGAACCAAAAACCTGCGCTTTGACAAATTTGCTAATAAGTATGTAGTCCATGAGGTGGTTTTTTTAGGATTTTCAAAATAATAGCTGCTGATGGTCTTTGATTTCGCTCTTTGGAAAGCAGTTTCTTAATTAGAGAAGCCTATAAATAAAGAGGATTTTAATATAAAAAATAAATGAGCATGGAATTAAGAAAAATAGATTAAAGGTTTTAAAAAGATGTTTTACAGCAGTATACCTCTTTTGGAAAATCCTCGATAAGTTTTTTTGGAAAATTGCCTTTTTTAATTTCATGAAAAACCTGAAAAATCAGAGTATATTTAAATTAAAGTATACAACTTTCCTTTAAAAGGTTTGTGTGCTGAATTTCAGAAATCTAGCCAGCTCCCCCAAAAGTAGCTTACCAATCTAGCAACAGAAAAATTCCACATTAAAACAACATCTAAGAGTATTTGCTTTGGAAGGATGCTTTCTAGAACAGGGGTCCCCAACCACCGGTCCACAGCATGCCAGAATCTGGATTGTACAAACAACCAAAGCCCCATCTGTGGGATGCAGTCAACAAAACCACACCGCCGCCACCACCCCGGTTCAGGGTAAAACCTCTCCACAGAACTGGTTCCTAGTGCCCAAAAGGTTAGCTCACTATTCTAGAAGTTACAATAGGTCAAGAATAATATTCGGTGATAAGAAATACACATAAGGGAATATTTCCACCATTCTTTTTTGCTGTCTGCCCAAAGTGGTATTTTTTTATCATATCTGTACATCTTTATTACAACAGATATCAACAAATTCCCATACACAAGCTTTGCCCGTTAACCAGTGAAAGTAAGAGTAAAAATGTCTGTATGCAGGAAGACTATTTGATGTTGTAGCATAGGGATGCACACTTATGCTTATATTCATAAGCATATAAAACAGTAATATGTGTATTACAAATATTATTACAAATAATATAAATATATATGAAATAGGCCTAGTTCCAATCCAGACCAATAGACACTTCTAGGCCTGTAAAAAGTTACAAAGTCTTCATCGATATGTAAATTAATAGTCACCTGTGTTGTCAGATATGCACAACTTTTGCCTAGTTTTGTAAGAAAATGTTTATAACCCAAAAGCCTACTACTTCAGAACTCTATATAATATGTATTTAGTAGCCAATAGTAGTAGGCAATCTCTATGGCCTTTAATCAGCAGATGAAAGAAAAGTTGAGATCTAGATCACTCTTCTTTCAAAAATAATCTTCCTCCCCATATATCTGCTGTCAGTCTTATACCAAAGCATTCCATTGGTGAATATAATGAACGGATAGCTTTTCTCCTTTTGCTCAGCTTGTTAATGTATGCCTTTCTTGAGTTAACTATTTTAATTTATTTTTTTCTAACATTACATTAAATAATTCAATCTGAAAAGCAGCTTGAACACCTTTATTGAGAAATACATGCAGGCAGTTGTAAGAAAAAAAAAAGATTATTTACCTTATCTTTCTCATGGTCAGTTGAAAATGGAAAAAGCATTTCATAAAAAATCAATCCTAATGAAAAGAGATCTATTTCCTTGCCATAATTGCACCCTTCCTAATGGAAAGCATAACACAAGCATGTTAGGTACTTCAAATGTAAAAACAAAATACAGAGCGATGTGTGCAACTTTCATTCACCTTCATAATAGTCTTTGGAGGCAAAATTGTATACAATGCTGTTGAGGAAAAATGTATGCGAATAAAGAACGCCAAAAAAAGTTAATTTTCAGCATAGGGCCATTTATTTAGAAAAGTTCCAGGTGATTTTCTCTTAGATGAAATGGAACAATTTAGTGCTTTGGGGGAGTGGGGGAGAGATGTAGATGGTTCTTGTAGTTTTTAATATTTTATCTTTGAATTTTTTTTATAAAAAACATTAAAAGAATAATTCAGGTACTTGTCAATTGGCATATATTTATGATGGTTGCACTGTCCTGGGATCACCATTAGTAACCTTCTGAGTCAACTACTGACAAGCAAAGTCTATGGAGGAAGCCACATTTATTTAATAACTACATGATTCATTTAAATGCAGTGCTTAATTAACAACCATGGCAAAAAGGTCATAAAATGGGGCAAAATTCATTTAATAACACCTTCTTAGAAACAAATTTTGGGCTCAGTTGTCATAAATCAAGGACTACTTGATTGCTTATTTCCAATAAGCAAATGCCTTTCAAAAGGATTTTCAGTGCATACACACAGAATTATTAACAATAATTACCTGCTCAGGTGCCATGTAACTCCTAGTTCCCTTGTTCATTGTCCGTTCTACTGAAACATCATTTACACCTGATGTTACCAATCCAAAATCACCTATTTTTATGCAATTTTCACTATCAAAAAATATATTTAGAGGCTGTAAAAAAATATGAGAAAGCACTTTATATTTAGGCATATAAGGAACAAATTTTTTTTCTGGGACAGCAAAGGTCAATTCACGTACTAATTCTAGGATTACTAATACATTTTTGGGAATAAATGAATTTTCAAATATGGAACCTGCAAATAATCAGGACTGCCTTTACCTGATGGGAAAGGAAAAAGCTGACAAAGTCAGAAGCAAAGAGCAAGTGGCCAAATTTATTTTGCTAAGAACATACATGTAAAAAAACCTATTTTGAGAAATGGAAGGTCTCCTAAAACAGAAGATAAAGAAACAGGCACAGGATTCGAGCCTTGGGAGTGCTATATATATAAGGACTAATTTTTCAAGCACCAATCTTGGTAACTTTAAGACCTGTGGACTTTAACTTCCAGAATTCAAAACATAAAGTTACCAAAGATAGTTCCCCTGCTCTACGGCTTTCAGTATCTTATTTGTTTGTTTAACTTCCATGCTACCCAGCTTGCTGAGGTTTCTTTAGCGGACTTATTCATTCAATAAAAAACACCAAATAAAATAAATAAATAAATTCATAAATTTAGCTGGTTGCCTTCCTCATTAAGTATTCTTCCAATATCTGCAAAAATTGTCTATATGAACTCTGAAGCTCTGCTCTGAGCCTTCTAGTTCAAGTATTAGTATATAGCATTTTTTCCTATTTTGTCCCCACAACTACCCTTGAAGTAGACGTGGGGACAAAATAGGAAAAAATGCTATATACTAATACTTGAACTAGAAGGCTCAGAGC